TTTTCGAAAACTTTGACCGCCCAGATCTCGTCTGGGAGGTCCCCGTAGCACTTTTAATCTGCATATTCGTAATCAGCATTCGAGGCTCTATCGATGTACCTAGGTCTCCATTCAAAGTTCCATGGGAAGTTGAACATTCCCTTGTAAGCCGCACCTCACGTTTTCTTTCCAGTGCGAAAGCTGCATGATTTTGGACTGCTCTATAAGTTAACAACTGGGCAAATAAGTGTTAAATTGGATGATCCTTTTGAATTGTCTTCCACGATAGCTTTAGCAAGGGGGCCAGACGCCAGTTATTTCGAAAACGTGGCTGAAAAACTTATTCAGTGTCAAGTTTAAGTCTTGAACCTAGAGCTCCATCATTGGCCTACATGTCCTTCCCACGGAAAGAGCAATGGGGGTGTATTTTCAAGAAAGGAACTAAGAACCCATCGACTGCCGTTCACACTTGCTTGCGTGCCATCTGGAACAGAGTGCACTTATCGCTGGTTCTTCTCTACATTCCGAAGAAAGTAAGACAGTATAACTCGTCAAGCACCCGTGGTCACACGCTGCGCACCAAGGGACCTCGAGCGGTTCACCCAAGTTTCTTGAGCAACTAGTTCGAGCAATTCAAGAGCGCAGACTCGCCGAGAGAAATCGAGTTCTTATCATAGTATGTGCTGAAAGTGCAAGTTAACAAGAGTATAAGGGTTGTTGGCTCAGATAAGATGATAAACTCTACTGAATGAAGACGATTGACAAATGAGCGGGAGTGTTTATATTTGGAATACGCCCCAGTGTGAGTGGTGAGTTGCCAACTCTGCTTACTTTAAGGTTCGAGGCCTGCACTGTTCGGAAACGCATATCCAATGGATCTGTACGAGTACTTCGCAATCGAGTCCAAAATGTGAACGGGTTTACTTGGCATACCAGCTACTGTTCCGACCCTAACTGTAGCAGACGCTGCAGGCTCCTACTCTCCTAGAATAAAGCTAGCTGAAACTCTCATGGAGGGGAGAAGTTTACAAGAAAACAGCTCCATCTGCGACTCGTGCTGAGATGGGAGCGCTTCAGGCAAGGTCAGGCTTTAAGATGGATACCATTGGGAAAAGCGAAATCTGGGAGTATGTACAAGCTAGTGTTACCGTAATCCCAACTGTCATTGGAGCGCAGTATTGCATTAGAGCACGTGTAGTGCAGTCCATCAAAGGGAACGCTCTTATGGTTAGGTTCTCATACAAAAGGAAATTCTGACATGAAAACCGAAACACCTCCAGAGACGACAAGATGTTTTCTTGTGAGCCAATGGATGGACCCTCTAATCCTGGAACGGCAAGAAACAGCCCCACCGACGGTGGTCCTGTTTCGGTAGGGACATCTTCCAAAGATTTTCTTCTTGGAAGTCGTTGGCATTCAAGACAAACTAAACTAAAAACCATTATTTAAAGAAAAAACCAGTCGATAAAGGTGGAAGAAGGCCGCCTGCTTTCAATTCCGAAGGTGAGACAGTCTTCAGTTACCATGGGTATCCTAACGAGTGAGTGGATTCCAGCGCGACCTCCTCAGCGCTTCGCCGAACGAAGAAATTACGCTACCACGTACCAAAGACCTAGAAGTAAGCGATAGATTCATCAGTATTCCTCAGCTGTCATGCAGAAATCTGTTCTCTATTCACTTGAATTGCCTTTGAAATTCTTATTTGAGAATTCATCTCGATGGTGCTACCTGCCCTCGCAAGCTGCATTGTCATCATCACATGTATTTTGCTAATCTTCCGGCTTTGTGCTCACATAATCAGAAGTCAGGAGTACGAGGCATCACCTGGTGTGAGCGTTACATTTCTTATATATAACTATCGCTCAGCTTACGCGCTCTTCCGTCTTCAACACAATAAGAATACAAAAAAGGAAAAGACCAATTACAATGAAAAAGTAACGAGAAGTGTATGCAACGTCGCTTCATTGACCATAACTCGTGAAAGTTGATATATAACCCATCGAAAAAAGGCTAGAGATTCAGCCTCCAATTTTTTCAAGAGTACAAACTGAGAGAAGGGTAGGCTTCATTCTGGGGAAGACCAAACAAAGGTTCACAACGTTATACCATTTTGTATTTTCTGCCCGTTGCCAAACCTCTACATTCTGAGACGGACAGCCGACTCTGCGACGCCGCGGAACTATTGCTACGTAGAACAAGAAAAAGAATGTCATCTCTACGTGGAGCAGTACCACTGAAACTGTGAAGCTGAAAGCTGAAGAGATATTTTTCTCTGAAGAAGTAGAAGGATGAAGTCCTCGTCTTTGATAGGTCCCTGCTTGATGCGGCATTCCACTTCCACTCGCAGTGGTAGCGGCATACTGAATGCAATGTGGTGTGGCCTATGCCTCGCGGGGGACCAGCCGACATACTTGTCGGTGTTTTTATCCTCCCAGACAAATCCGGTACTGCTTAAAGTTCCCGGAGGAGAGAAGGTTCGCTTGGCCTAAACGAGGAACCGGTCCGGGATTTGATCTCAAAGCCACACGCATGGTAAGCGCGCCCTTTGCCACTACACCACATCAGTCTTATTTTACTCCTTATGATTAGCAGAAAAAAATAGCGAAGAACTGGTTTCAGGTGTTCAAACAGGTACTAATTGGTTGTAAGATCCGGTAATCGTTCTAGACATAAATTAAATACTACTCTCCTCATCATTACGGACTGTCGGGGCGTATCAGCCAGTAGGAGTGCGCACACTGTTTGAAGCCGTTCTCAGCCTTTTCGTTGAAACGCGTATGCGACAAAAAGTGGTAGAAAACGAGTAATACGAAGGATATAATGCTGTCATGTCATTTGCTCGCTTCAACAACTGGTGCAGAAAGACTTTGGCACCGCGGAAAACGCAGCCGCACTGACCCGCCCCGACAGTCCGTAATGATGAGGGAAGTATATGTATTAGTAGCACAAGTTCTGAAGAATAACGATGACTCAATGTCTCGTCAAGAAATGAGCTTTGCAACTCACGTAGTTCGCGGTACTTCCTCTCGACTTCTCAACCTTTCTTTCTCTTTCTGTGGCTAGAGCACTCACTTAGAGCACTGGTATGCATGCTGGCAGGGTAGCATGTACAGTAGCTAAAGAACTAGCAGCTGTCGTGGGGAAAAACCAGCCTCAAAGACAGCCCCCGCGTCAAATAATTCATGGTTGTCCCTCATCAGGGATAGCCGAGTGGTTAAGAGTGTAGACTCATGTTCACACCCTGAGCCACGAGTTCGATCCCTGCCGAGGCACAAACCTGCCTTGCAAAAATGGGGACGATACCAGCGTCAGGCCCAGGTTGACAGGCCGGCTGATGGAGGAACCCGTCACAACAATCATGGCAAGTCGCAAAAGTATCAGTCAAAGCGGATATAGAAGTGGCTCGCAGAACCCTCGCCCGAGTTCTGTGGTCAGTATGCGAGGGCTACCGAGGGGTGAACGACCTCGGCCAAAGAAGCTAGTTCGAATTGGGACCCTGAACGTGGGGTCGCTTACCGGGAAGTCTCGTGAGGTTGCCGACCTCATGAGACGCAGGAATATCCAAGTCCTATGCCTGCAGGAAACGCGATGGAAGGGTGCGAAGGCCCGCGAGATCGGAGAAGGTGTTAAACTCTTCTACAATGGAGCAGACACCAAACGGAATGGCGTGGCCATAGCGGTGGCAGAATCCCTCAAGGACTGCGTCTCCTCTGTGAACAGAATCGGATCCTGGAGTGAGAATGGACACGAAGGAGGGGTACTGGACAGTACTGACCGTGTACGCACCATCCGGTTGCTCCGAGGCGGAAAAGGATGAGTTCTACCTGACCCTGGACGAGGCCATAAGATCGGTTCCGGAAGATGACTACCTCACCATAGCTGGGGATCTGAATGGCCATGTGGGAAGTGACAGAAGGGGTCTAGAAACGGAGGCCAAGGAATAGGAGCAAAGAACGCTGAGGGAGAACGGATCCTTGACCTAGCCACAGCTCAGACTTAGCAATCTGTAGCACCTTCTTCGCGAAAAGGAGGACTCAGAAGATAACCTACAGCAGTGGAGGGAGACAAACGGAAATCGACCATGTCCTGGTCAGAAGATCGTCTCTCAAAACCGTCAAGGATATCAAGGTACTGCCTGGGGAAGAGCTGGGCCCTCAGCACAGGCCTCTCCTGGCAGACATCGCCATAGACCTCCCCAAGAAGACAAGGTGAGAGCAGAGCGAAGAATTCGGTGGTGGAAAATGCGCAAGGTAGAAAAGGATAGCCTCGGCCGAAGAATACTGGAGGCTGGGCTCCCAGACCCACATGGGCCAGTCCAGGACACCTGGACCTACGCAGCAGAGGTCATCCTACAGTGTGCAAAGGAAGTCCTGGGAGAGACGCGAGGTGGTATCAGAGGAGACAAGGCAGCCTGGTTCTGGAACGAGGAAGTCCAGGGGATCGTCAAGCAGAAGAAGGAAGCATATAAACGCTGGCAAAAGACAAGGAGCCCAGAGACTTCGCTGCCTACAAGAGCTGCAAGCGACTCGCTAAGGCAGCCGTTGCTAAGGCCAAGAATACGGAAATGGACGCCCTGTACGACAAGCTGGAAGGCCGAGAAGGGGACAAGTTCGTCTTCCGCCTGGCTAAAGCTCGGCATCGCGCTGCTCAGGACATCAGGGTCGTAAAGACTGTGAAGAGCAGCAACGGGCCATTCTCAGGAAACCAGCCGAAGTCAGAAAGAGGTGGGAAAAATACTTACTCAAAAAGAATAGCCCACATATAGAGGCGACGGCAGGCCCCATCACTCCCTGGACAGAGGATAGTCCGCCGTGAGCTAGGGAGAATGAAAGTTGGGAAAGCAGTGGGTCCAGACGGGGTACCGATAGAGGCATGGAAGGCCCTGGGAGAGCTTGGGGTGAGTTGGCTAACAGACTTCCTAAACAACGTAACGGCTGAAGGAAGGATGCCAGATGCGTGGAGGAGCAGCACAATCGTCCCCATCTTCAAAAGAAAGGGGACGCGACGGAGTGCTCCAACTACCGCGGCATCAAGTTGACTCCCCATACCATGAAGCTGTACGAGCGCCTGGTCAACACTAGGCTGAGGGAACTTGTCCCTATCTCGCAGGAACAGTTCGGCTTCATGCCCGAAAGGTCCACCACTGATGCCATCTTCATCGCCAGACAGCTGATGGAGAAGTACCGAGAGAAGCGGCCCTGCTACCTAGCCTTCCTGGACCTTGAGAAGGCATTCGACCGCCTGCCTCGGCCTGTACTCTGGAGAGCGCTCAGAGAACGTAACGTTCCGGAGCACCTGGTCTCCATAGTGAAGGATATGTACGATGGGGCTAAAGCAGCTGTACGCACCCCGCACGGCTTGACGAAA